CCTGTCCCCTCCCCATCCATGTCACCAGGCTGTGGGTAGCCATGACAGCATCCAGATATTAATGGCAGCTCCCTCTGGTCTAATCCCTTCTTTACCTTGCAGGGCTGCCCCCAGGAGGGACATGACTCCACAGAAAAGAAGCAGCCCCAAACTCCCTTGCAGCAGGGTAAACTGAGGCCTGGTGCCCAGCCCCCTGCATCCCCCCCGTTCGCCAGTCCCCGGCCAGAGCCCAGTCACAGCTGGCAGCATCTTGGCAGGGAGCCACTGCTCTGGGCAGCCAGAGCAACCACTCGAGGGCCCCCTGGAGCCGCCTCCCCCCACTCTGATGTAAGCTGATATTTTAATTCTCTTAGAAGGAATGGTGTTTAGAGAAATGACTTAACCGGATTACTCATCGTCTATAATGACTTGGCCCAACTCCGAGGCTATTCCTAGACGTGACGCTTGAGGCTTTGATACTTTCTCTCTTTACTTTTGTTCCTGCACCTCCCCCCCTCCTCTTTTTTTTTTTAATGCCAAGAAATTACACACTGGCAAGGAGGCCCTGCCCCGCTATGCATCCTGGGAGATGTAGTTCTTCTCTGGCCACACTTGCCCCCCCAGCATTTAGACCCACCCCCAATTCTGCCAGGCAGGCAGAAGCCACTCACCCACTACATACATCACTTTACCCACCTATCAAATGGTAGGGATAGTCACAGAACGTAGGGCTGAGGGCCAGCTGAGATCTATGTAAGTGGTACACAGACCTTCCTTGATTACAAATTCTGTGCCCCATGCATTTTGCGTTGACCTCCAGTCTAAATTTACCACTTGCGATAAAGCGTGACACAGAATCGGGCTGTAGTTACCCTGGGCCCGGGACCCGGCGTAAAGTCCTTTTTCCTTCCTATTTGTGGTTGAGTCTAGGAACTTTCACACAGAATTTATTCTCTGTTCCTCAATGTCACTGGATTCTCTGGGGACAACAGTGTCCACTTCATACGGCTGGGGTGCCATTAAATGAAAGAACCAAGTCTGGGAGGCTGAGGCAGGAGGATGTTTGATCACAGATTGGTCAAGTTAGGGAGTCAGTAAGACCCTGTCTCAAAATGGAGACATTTGAAAAGGACTGTGGGATGTAGCTCAGCATGAAGGCCCCAGGTTCAATCCCTGGTGCACGCACATGAAGGCACACACACACACACACACACACACACACATACAAGAATGGGCCAACTGAGATGCTGGCGCAGTGTCTGATGGGTAAATCCTGCTCGAAGGCATTTGGGCCCGTTCCAGCACCAGAACACTGCTCAGCCTGGGGTTGGCAAGGGTTGCATTTCTGCCCCACAAGCTTAGGGTCTTTGCTCTGGCCATGGCAAGGTCTCCGTCTAGCTCAGCGTTGGAACACGGTAGGACCCCGTGACATATGTTGGATGAATGAACATATGCATAAATGAATCATTATCCCTGCTTTCCAGATGAGGCACCTGTGGCTCAGAGAGGTTGAATGCCTTGCCCAAGGCCACACAGCTTGTGTGTGTGTGTGTGTGTGTGTGTGTGTGTGTGTGTGTGTATGCAAAATATAATTTTCTCTTCTGGCCCTGCCATCCCCAGGAGAATCAGACTTCCACCTTTTAGGCTCTAGAACTTCAGAAGCTGGAGTCTCCATCCTGCTGGGCTTTGGCTAGGCAGGGGTTGTGGAGGTGGCCCCAGCCCAGCCTCCACCCAGCAAAGAAGCCGACCCTGAGTCTGCAGGAAGGCAGGCGAGGGTGATGAAACCGTAGCAGGTGTGGCCCTGGCTCCCGGGTGGACAGCCCAGGAAGCTGCCTGTCACTCACCCTGGCGACAGTGAGCACAGTGCCATCAGACGGGAGTCTGGGTCGGAGATCCTGGCTCCGCCCCTTGCCAGCATTGCTCCCACCGGACTCCCATCTCCAGCCCTTCCCCAAAGGCCAGAAGCTATTCTTGTCTTTTTCTAAAAGAGGCATTTGAAGCCATGAGCCAATTTTTTCCGTTCCTGGGCTTGGGTATCGTCTATTTCGGGCATTTGTTGTTTTCCATGAGTTGCGAATGCCACTGTGAAGCAGGCCTTTCCTGGACAGCCAGCACGGGGAGCCGGGCAGGGCCAGCATTAAAAATACTTCCCGATTTGCTTTTCCTTTGAAAACGAGGCCCCGGGGGCCTTGTGCAACTGCTGAGCCTGGGAACAGAGCTTCTCAGGGCAGAAAACTGGCTGTGTGTTCTGTTTTCTGAGTGCACTGAATATCTCAGCCGGTTCCAGAAGAAGTAATGGCTTTGATTTTGCTGTGTGACCTTGTGCAACTCACTTAACCTCTCTGGGCCTGGTAGACAAATGATCTTGAATGGTCCCTACCATGCCCCTCTCCCCATCAGGTTCCCTTCCTAGAAGGGCCAACAAGAGGTGTGAGAAGGCAGCTGTAGCTCTGTCTCTGCGAACACTTGGGAGCTAGAACATCCTCAGCAGGATTCCTGGAGCTGGAAAAAATATTAAGGGCCATGAAGAGGAGATTAAATAAAGAAACTGTACGTCCACGTGAAGGTGCGAGATGGGTCGCTCTGTGTACTACTAGAAAGCTCTCTAAGGTCTGTGCTTGACTGAGAAAGTGAGCTGTGGAAGGGGATGATCGGAATTGGACCATTTCTACTTTTTTTTTTTTTCCGGTACTGGGAATCAAACTCATGACCTCGTGCTTGCCAGGCAAGTGCTGTGCTGCTGAGCTAAATCCCCAGCCACCGACCATTTCTACTTGAAGACACATGTAAAGCCCACCCGTGGAGTTTACTGCACCACGGACACCTGTGTTTGTGACAATACAAAGGGAGCCGAGGCTGGGGATGTAGCTCAGCGGAACAAGCGCCTGTCTGGCAAGTGCAAGGTCACGAGTTCAATTCCCAGTACCAAAAGAAAAACAAAAAGAAACCACACGAGTAAAATAGTAGTTAGAACAGTTACAAAGGGAGCCGTTTCTTTAATCTGATAGTGAGGAAAAGAGGGAACTGGGTTGGGGTAGTGCGGGAGAGGACTGATTGATTTGTGAGGTTTTCCCCGGGAGAGTGTCTTTATTTATTCCTGGTTTGCATTTCTTCTGGAGAGACACCCACCATGACACGAGGGGACAGGTGAGTCCCCGGGCTCTCCCGAGCTGGGATCCTGAGATTGCAGGAGCAGGTGGAAGCGCGTGAGGGAGATTCTTGAGCACTCACTGGGCATGCTTATGCTTTCTGCAAGGCAAACAGAGATACTCTTCCTCTGCAGGACTTTTTGGCTGTTGTAAATTACTTTCTACTGCCAGTAGTTGACTGGGGAGGCAATTACGTTTAGATCATATTGTTCCCAGGTTGGCTGGGCAGGTGTTGACTTGCTGAGGCTTTGCACAACAGCCCCTGTCTGTAAGAGCATGGGCGGCTGCCTGGATGGCAGGATATACCTATCCTGAGGTGGGTGAGCTACTGCTTTGAAAGGTAGTGAGCTCCGTATCAACGGGAGCATCCAATCCACCAGGGAAGGGTTGGCCTAGACCCTTTAGAGACCGAGTACCCCAACTGCAACCCAAACCCACTTATTTATCACCAAGTACCAACACTGCAATTGAACCTGAATGCTCAGCTGCTGGGGCAACGTCGCTGGCATGATGACAGATGGGATCTGTGTGCCCACTGGGGGGTGCACACCATAAATTCGCCATTCCTGGCCTAGACTCTGACCCTGAGGGCAGCATCAAGGTTTCCGTGCCCAACTTTGGGCACACCGTATGGCCCCATCAGTCCTTACAGAATGGGTCAAGTGGGGCTAGAAGTATGTTCGGCTTCCTGACGGCTGCCCATCATAGTGTCCCTGCCACAGCCTCAGCTGCCCCAGGAGGACAGTGGCTTGTAATCCTGGAAGTGGGAGGCTCGATTACAATCACTGGGCATTTTTACACATTGACAATAAGATAGCTGTTACCAGCCTTGCAGGGCCTGGCTCTGACAAACCCACCTACGAGCCCACAGCACTGCCTGCCCTGGCTGAGTGGAAGGGAGCTGCCATTCCAGGGCCAAAGGGCCAGGGCCCCGGGGTCAGGCAGGGCCACTGAGCGGCAGCCTGGTGATGAGTGCCCACAGGATGGGTGGGTTCCAGGTACAGGGCTCCCCTACTGGGCACCAGTGCCTGGGTATAGCTGCAGCTCTGCCTCTTACTAGCTGCATTACCTGAGCTAATTAATCTCTCAAATCTCGGTTTTACCCTAAAAAATAAGGTTGATGACAATACTGTGAGATGCACAGAGCTGCTATGGGTATTAAAGTCCCTCAGCACAGGTTTCGTGTACCTACTGTGTGCTAGGAACAGGGTTCAAATCAAGTCATAACTAACTACTCACTAAGACATAACGCTCTTAAACTCCAAGCCTTGGTTTTCTCCTCTGTGATGCCATGGCCTGCCGGACACCTCCTCCTGCCTGTACTCGCCTTCCGCTCCCTCAGCTGGGGGTCGTGCCCTCCTTTTTTGCCTTGCTCAGCTTGTAGCTGCCACTCCGAGCAATGCCATATGTGGACACTGGCCATTAAGGGCAGGCCTGGGACATCAGACATTTCGGGAACCCTGCAGAGTTGAGGCCCAGGCTTGCTAGTTTGGTTCCTCACAGGGCTCTTAGGGTGGGCTGGGTAGGGGCTGGGAAATGCCCAGGGCCACTTCAAGTCAGAGTCACAAGCACTTTGCTCACCCTGCCCAGCCCTCAGGGACCTGCAGAGAGCATGGAGAACTTTTTTTTTTTTTTTTGCAAGACTCTAGTTTTGCCTCTAGTGAAATTGAGGTTTAGGACAGCAATGACTCCTGCGTGTCCTGCTTTGGCCGCCTTAGGTGAGATGCCTGTGACAAGTGCTCCAGTCCTTAAGCCGATGGAGGGGAGCACGCAACTACAACTCCCAGACTTCCCTGGGTCTAGGGGGTGGCCCCTGCGGGGGGCTCTAAAGAACCGGACTAGCCAATGGGAATCCACAGCGGGCCGGGGCGGGGCCCTGGAGGGGCGGAGCCCCAGGGAGGCGGCGGGCGAGCGGCGCTGGGAGCCAGTCGCGCCAAGAGCGCGGAGCCGGGGATCCGCGCGTGGAGGGTCTTCGGGCGGCCGGCGCGGGATCTCGCGGGCCATGGGTGAGCGGCTGGGCGGCCCGGGGCGGGGCTCGGCGGCCCGCGGGCAGGGCGAAGGCGGAGGCGTCGCGACCCCGCGCGGCAGTGGGTGCGGCTTCGGCGGTGTCCTGGGGGGCCGGGGAGGGCTCAGGGAAAGCTGGGGCGCCCGGAACGACCCCGGATCCTCACGTTAGGCGCGGGGAGGGTGAGGCCCGGCTGTCTGCGCGCGCGCTTCGAAAAAAAAGGAAAGACAGAAAGTTTGGGGCGGCCAGGGGCTTCCCGGGCGCTTATCTCGAAACTCTCCGTCCAGCCCCGCGCGCGCTGTCGTCCCACTTCCTCTGCGGTTTCAGTGTCGAGCTGGGCTCAGCGAATTTGTTGTGACGGCTGTCACAGCAGTCTCGGGCCCGGCCCCCTCCCCCGCCCAGCCCCGCGCTTCTGAGAACCGAGAGGGGGCGCCGCGCGCGGGGCGCTTTCCGCGCCGCCGCCGTTTCCCGAAAGCGGCCGCGCGGTGCGGGCTCGCTCCGGGCTTTGAAGAATCGACGGTTCCGCTTTCGGCCGGCCGTGCCCCTCGCGCGCTGCCGGCCCCTGCCCTTGTCTTTCTCTTCTCTCTTCCCTTTTTCGCTTCTCGCCTCCCCCGCTGCTCGTCTCCTGCCCGCCCTCCTCAGCCCCGGCTTCCTCCCCTGTGCCCGTTTCTTCTGCCTCTCTGTCCCTTTCCTCCGCTCCGGGCCCGGAAGGGACGGGGTCTCGGGCCCCCCGGGCGCGACGGGGAGCGGGACCCAGCGCAGACTGCGGGCGCCTGGCAGGAGAGGAGTTCGGCGGCGCGCAGCCGGGCCGGGGGCGCAACCCGGGCTTGCGCAGTGACCCACGCAGTGCCCTGGGCTCTCCGGGCCGGGCCCGCGGGGCGCGGGAGCCCCGGGAGGGTCAGGGTCCCCAGTTCTTGTGCTGGTCTGGCCCAGGGTCCCCGGTTTGCCCAGAGTCTTGGGCGGTGGGGAGGGGCCTGGGGCCCAGGGCAGGGGGGCGGGTGCTTTTGGTCCCGCTCACCCTCAGTTGGAACTGCCGCACGTGTGGGGGGCTCTGTGCCTACAGGTGCTCTGGCCGCCTGAGCGGAGGTGCAGAGTCCAAACTGGACCTGCTCGAGCCTAGAACTTGATGTGCCAGAGGTAGAAAGGGTCCTAGAATGAGGCCTCCGTCTTCTATGTACAGTCAGAGAAACTGAGGCATAGAGACCAGCTCGGGTCCCGCAGGCAGTGCGGGACAGGCTGCAAGACTCCTGGCCCCTCCCTCTTCGCTGTGGCGTCCTGTTTCCCAGGGTGGGGGTCTGGCAAGCCTGGCCCACTGCCCTCCTAGGAAGGCCCGGGGCATCATCTAGCTTGGCGAGCCACGCGGGGGTAGCCGTGGGAGCAGGAGGATGGACAGGTAGAGGAGGGGTGGCAGTGCCTCTGCTGAGTGAGGACATCCTCCCCAGGTCGCTTACACTTCTCAGGACTGGGGCTCTTACTGCCCAGTTCTCCCAGCCTGGCAGGACAGGCCAGTGAGGTTCACCCCATCCCATCCTGGAAGAGGATCTTTTAGGACATCTGAGCTGGGTAAAGAGGGACAGGGAGCCGCAGTGGGACTCGGGAGCGGCAGGCTTCTGTTTGGGGTCCCCCACACCCCGATGCCTTGCTGGGCCATCTTGGCCCCAGCTGCTGCCAGACCCTGGCCCTCTCCTCTCCCCAGGGAGGTGCTGTGGTATCCCCCCTCCCCACCCCGCCCTGCTCCGTCCGCAGTGCTGGCCCTTGGCTGGTGGCATGTCCCTAAACCTCCCTCTGGAGCAAGCCCCATGCCCAGACTCGGCTAGGCAGCCGGCTCCTGGGCCGCAGAGTGGACCAGCCGCCTCAAAGGCCGTCATTGTTAGGCCTGCAGCTAGAGCTCAGAGAAATTTAAGCCAACAACCCCGGGCAGGCGAGGGGGTGGGGCTGTGTCTGCTGGTTGTGGTCGAGGCTTCTCTCACTGCTATTGTCATGTAACTGACGCAGTGTTCCTAGTTGGTGACTTTTCATGAAAGGAAGTGTCACTTCCTTCCCGCTGTACCAAGGGTTAGTGGGGCGGCTGAGAGACCCAGAGAGCAGAGCAGGGGTGCTCAGACCAGTCGCAGCCCAGGCTAATGCTGGGGAGCGCTTGAGGGGTGCTGCATGCCTCGGGAGCGGGCAGGGCAGGCAGGTGACAGATGTCACTGAGGGAGCCCGGGCACACACACTGGGCTGTGGTGTGTGGGAGGACGGACCCATTTACTACCGCACCCGTTTTGCAGATGAGGAAACTGAGCGATAGCAGCAGTGACTGAGTTGGTAAAAGATGCACCTATGTGGTGCCAGGCCCCAACCAGCCCCCTCTGCTGCCCCACGCCCACCCACCCCCAGCCTGTTGTCTGGCCGGGCAGGGGCAGCACCCAGCAGCCACCGGCTTCCCGGTGCCACCCTGCTGGCCTTGCCTACCTCCCTGGCCTGCTGGGTCTGTGGTCCCGGTCTCTGAAGCCCCCACCCAGGTGGGCTGGGCCCAGGCCAGGAGCTGCCCTTCCACTGGGCAGCAGGTGGAAGGCTCTGAAAGGAATCTCAGTAGTGCTTTCCTTCCTCCCTCAAGATTAGGGGACCAAAGCCCTTATTCAGAGGTGATGGGACCCCAAGGGCCTCCAAGGCCAGGGAAATTGATTCACAGGGGGCAAGTGTCAGAACCCTCGCTCCAGCCTGTAGGGTGGGGCCCGGCTGACCAGCAGTCCACACGGACCAGCTCTTGTCCACAGAGTGACTGGGTGACCCACTTGGGGAAAGTGGGCATGTTTCTGCACCCTGAACATAGACAAGGAAGTTGGAGTCTTCCCGATTAAAAAAAAAACCCTCTAGACCTCAGGGTTCAGTGCCTTGAGCATTAGACCTTTCTAGTTCTGAATCCTAGCTCTGTCACTGGGAAGCTGTGTGGCTTGAGGCAAGTTACTGAACCTCTCAACTGTTAAACGGCTGGGAAGATTGGGTAAGGCACATATAAGGTGGAGTACTGCTCTGCTATGAAGAAGGATAAACTGGGTCGTTTGTAGAAAAATGGATGCGTCTTGAGGCCGTAATGTTAAATGAAATAAGTCAGGTACACAAGCTTCAATATCACATGGTTTCTCCTGTATCAAAGTATAAATAAAGAGCAAAATAAAAGATAAATAATAGGAAACAGGGAGATAGATTTTTCTTAGAAGGGGACCAAGGGATGGAGGGAGCGGGAGAGGGACATAAAAAGACCACCACCGGGGCTGGGGATTTAGCTCAGCGGCAAAGCGCCTGCCTGGCAAGCGCAAGGTTGTGAGTTCGGTTCCCGGTACCAGAGAAAAACCTAAACCCCCCCCCCCCCAAAAAAAAAAAAGAAAGAACGACACTGTGTGATGTCCACGTACAACTCCCCATGCGGAAGGTAATCACTTTGTCCTACAGACGGGGACTCATAAAAATTTAAGTTTTTAAAAAAGTACATGCCTGACTCACAGTGGCCAGAGCACTGGTTTGAGCTGGTGGAGCACAGAAGGGGAAGGGAGTTTGGAATGGCCGAGAACACGCAGGCTGTTGGGGGCATCAGAGTGAGCAAGTGACCTGCTGTCCCTGAGATGCACTCGTCTCTATGGAAACCAGATTCATAATCCACGAGGGGCCTTGGGTAGCTCTGCGTGCAGCTGCGCACCTCACCCAGGAGGTGTCGAAGGGCCCTGTGCTCATCACCTGGGTGCCGTGGCTCGCAGGGGCGTGAGGACGTGGAGGGAGGTCCTGCTGTCTCAGGGCTCCTGTGATGCCATCCCCTACCCTCGTGACTCAGGAAGCGGCTAGGCAGAGGTGGGCGGGACCTTAGGAGGGGACTCAGGCTGCAGAGGGGACCGGAGTCCACGGTCCTGCAAGGAAAGAGGCGGAGTTGCAAAGGTGTTGCTTCTCCTCACAGTAGCTTCTAAATCAAAACCCGACTGGTGTGTTCTTAAGAGAGTGGGCCCGGGTTCCCCGCAAGTTCAGATGGATGTTTTGATAAGAAGAGGGACGTGGGAAAGTCGCTCACCGGATTGTAAATTGTTGCCCAAAGCCACCCCGCATTGATACCAGGCCCAAGGGTCAGTGTTCCACAGCGAAGGGAGCAGGGTCGGAGGTCTAGAAAGCGCCCGAAGTGCTCTGTGTGGGTGCTGAGACCCGGGAAAGCAGCGTTCGGATTGTGAGAAAGGCGTCTGTCAGGACCCCTGCCTCCCACCCAGCACGGGACCACGGCAGATGCTCATCTCCTCCTTCACGCCAGATATGCTATGAATAAACAGTGCAGTGTTAATCACCTAGGGCCAGTGTTCTCTGGATGGAAAAAGTCATGTCTGAATGATGTTCTTGTGGAGAGCACAGGTCTTGGGTGTGTAGTTTAGCTAGGTCTGAACTCACTTTGTAGCCCAGGCAGGCATCAGACTCAAGGTGATCCTTCTGCCTCAGCCTCCCAAGTCCCGGGATTACAGGGATGCGCTACCTCAACTGGCCAGAATGCTCTTTAGGGATTAGTTTGATCTACAATTGAGCTGGGATATGGAACCTAGATCTGTAAGTGATCAGGGAAGGAAGGGATTAGAGGAGACAGGAGAACTAGTACCAAACACATGGCATGGGGTTCACACCTGTCTTTCATAGCAGAAGCCTTTTTACAACTAAAGATGACCTAAATTTATAAGTGGAACCCGGATCTGGACCCTGGATTGGAAGGAGAGGTTAGGGCTGCCAGGGACAGGATGGAGGGCACCTTGGAGAAGCAAGGAGGGGACTCTTGTGGGTCCTGCAGCCCAGGCCTTGTCAGGACAGTGCGGCAGCTCTGCTTCCAGAGGACAGGACCAAGTTCATCTGGGGACTCAGCAGGACAGAGAGGAGTGTGCTTACGATGTGGCTGATCCCTTCTCCAGCTGGGGCTAACCAGCTCCGGTGGTGACCTCCTTTCCAGGTAACCTGAGTGCCTGTTGCTAGGACATTTTCCCTGAGCAAGGTGGCCCAGGCAGAGTGCCTGAGTTCTAGAACTGAACCAGGAAGGGACGAGAGGTGCTTGCCCAGCTGGTTTCCCCTGGGGGGCTTTAAGTTCCAGGGCCCCAAGCAAGACCTTGAGCATCAGAGGCTTTAAAATATTCTCCCAGGGGATCTTAACGGTCCAATCACCTTATTTTTGTTGTATTTTTGAGCCAGAGTGGGATCTCACCATGTTGCCCAGGCTGGCCTCAAACTTGTGGGCTCAAGCAATCCTCCCGCCTCAGCTTCCCAAGCATCTGGGATGTGTAATGCTGTGCTTGGTTAAGCCACCTTTTTTCTGAACCCAAGGGGCAGTGACATGCAGGAGGGCTGCAGTGTGAAGCTTGGGTCCCACTCAGGAAGACCCAGGGTCTGTGGCAATGAGCAGAAAGAAGCGCAGGGGGCTGTGGGGTGCAGTGTGGGGTGGTGGGGAGGGAAGGGAAGAGGAGGCTGATGATGGGCAGTTAGCGAAGAACTCAGGAATCTCCCGTTTCTAGCTGGGTGTGGTCGTGCACACCTATAATCCTAGCACTCAGGAGGCTGAGACAGGAGGATTGCTGCAAGTTCAAGGCCAGTTTAGACTATATAGCTAGACCCTGTCTCGAAAACCAAAGTGATCCTTCCAGGGACTGTGGGAGAGGAGTGTGTGAGGGAGGCAGGGACCCTGGCCGAGGAGGCTCGCAGGACATGCGTGAGCTGCTGCAGGTGCTGCTGCACCTCTGGGAACAGCTGTCAGAGGGAGGCCGCTTGATGGCCCCAATTCTAACGCCCCTGGCTGCTGGGTTAGTGCCCAGGTGTGTGTAGTTCCCAGGGAGACTCTGATGGAGGCGACAGCTCACAGGTTCCCAACAAGTAGGATTTTCTGGGCTGGAGCAAACCCAGGCGGAGCAGGGCCAAGGAGACCAGACCGACAGAAGAAGGTGGCAGGCAGGAAGGTTGTCACAAGGTGTGGCTTCCTGGTGCCTAGGGCACTGCCAGCCGCAGCGTGGTCTCCATAGCGGCCAGAGTACAGCATTCTCACAAAGGTCGGCGTGAGGCCGCCTTAGGAGCGCAGCTTGGCACCTCTTCCCGGTGCCTGCTCCTCCGGAGCCCCGGCCCTTCCTGTTTCCCTGGCGTCTGTCATGGGACCCTGGAGGCCTCACCGAGGGATCAGAGGTGGACAGGCGGCAGGCGCCTCAGTGGGGATGGCTCTGGGAAGCCTACGGGCCGGGAGCAGGAGGCCTGGGGCTGGCCAGCTGGGGAGTCCACCAAGGACCGGACCAGGGTCCCCTGAAAGTCGTGCATTGGCGGGCAGCCTGGGGCACAGGGCACGGTGGCCGGAGCTTTGTGCATGCTCAGGGACGGGCCACATGTCCCTGTGATGGACACCGAGTCCCTGCTGGATAATTCTTGGAGGTGACCATGCAGGTAGCCGGGGATTTGGGGGTCACAGACATGGGAGCCTTGGCAGGACCCCCAATTTGGCCAAGCTACTGTGGACAGGGGCAGGTTTTGGAGACCGGTGTCCCCAGCATCTTGGCCCTGTGCAGCACCCTCAGACTTGATCTGAGGTTCAGCGGGTCCCTTGGGGATGCAGGGGGGGCTGCGACGGGAGGGCTGAATGGAGAGGGTCAGGGAGAGGAGAGGAGCAGGGTGGGGGGCCGCGGCCAGGGCGAGCCCACAGGTGTGCACGAGTGTGCGTGTTTGTGATTTAGACGGACCGCCAAGGGCAGGCAGAGGATGCACCCCTCGCTGGCCAACTGCAGCCTGGGGCGGCAAGACAGCTCCTCACCATCTGTTCTACCTGTGTCTCACAAGCCCTCTCCCCTCCTGTCCCTCCCTTCCTTTCCCCTCTAGCAGCACCTCCTGTCAGAGGAAGAGGGAAGCAGTCCGAGGAGGGTGACCCCTTAGACACCCCTGCATCCCCAAGTCCTGATGGTGAGCAGAGCAGGAGCCAGAGCCCGATCCAGCTGGAGGTGAGCCGGGCGACTTCCCAGGACCTTGTCCCTGCCCCCCTCAGTCCGGGCTCAGCCTCCAGGGAACTCAGAGCCCTCGCCAACTCTCAGAGGGAGACACGTTCCTGTCCCTGACCCACAGGGCCACCTGTGGCCTGCTGGGAAGGTACAAGAGCTGGGTGCTGGGCAGTGGGTTTCAAACTGAGATTTGGTAGCAGAACCAACTTTTAAATGAAGACGACCTGGCACTGATCGCAGAGCCAACAGAGGCACGGGTGTGCGGTGTAAAACCGTGTTCACACACATGCATCCAGCGGGCCGTGGTTGAGGCTGGTGGGCGCAGCCCGGCAGAGTGGCCCCTTGGTGCCAGGAAGCACAGAACACCTGCTTTTAGCCTGGGGGCCTGGGGCACCGAGCCCGCCTTCCAGGAACTGGTAGGGGCCAAGACAAAGACAGCAAATCGAGAGCAAGATAAAGATGTGATCCTCACCGAGAGAGTGCAGGGATCCCCCATGGTCCCAGAGCGACTGCCTTGGGCTCTGGCCCCTGTCCTGGGTGCTGAACCCCGGCAGCTGGCACCCGGCGCCCATGCCTGTGTGACCCAGCAACCATCACTGTGGCCCAGGGCAGGAGGCTGGGTGTCCTGGGAGCCTGGGCGGGGACCGGCACGCTCTTCTCCACACACTCTGGTCAGTACCCGCGCTCAGCCCCAGCCCCGGCCCACGCCTCCTTCTCTCCCCAGGACTCCCCTGAGGCAGGCAGGGAGCGGGAGGAGGAGCAGGCCTTCCTGGTCAGCCTCTACAAGTTCATGAAGGAGCGGCACACGCCCATCGAGAGGGTGCCCCATCTTGGCTTCAAGCAGAGTGCGTCCCTGGGGTGCAGGCAGGGTCCCTGGGGGAGGAGGGGGGCAAGCAGGGGACCCCACCCAGGCAGGGCAGTGGGGCCGGCTCCTCACTCCGGGGGACCCTAGGTGCGCCCACCTGAGGGGGTCACAGAATGCCTCCTGCAGGCCTGGGGCTGGCAGGGGGCAGAGCCAGACTCCCTCTCCATGGGCTCCGGGCAGCGGCGCTTGGGCCCAGCCCACCGATCATCGCACGGCCCTGTCTGGGTGTGGGGGCTGCAGAGACTCACCGCTGCCTGCCTCCCCTCCAGTTAACCTGTGGAAGATCTACAAGGCGGTGGAGAAGCTGGGGGCCTATGAGCTGGTAAGCTGGGGGCCCCTCATGTCCACTGCCTGCCACCTCTCCCTGCACATCCCGCTGTACCCCAGGAGGTACAAGGAAAGGGGTGAGCTACAGGGCTGTCTTTGCCTGCAGGCAGAGGAGGGAGAGCCAGGTCCCCATCCCAGCCCTGGCTGTGGGCGCTTTGCTGCTGTAAGCAGGTTCTTTCTTCCCCATCTGTTCCGTCCTGTGCTGCAAAGCTGCTTGGGCCAGCAGTCAGTCAGGCGGCCCTGGGAGGGCGCTGGCGGGAGGCCAGGGAGCTCCTTCACAGGCAGTTCTGCCCCCACCTCCCTGCGAGGGCTACCTGGAGCCCCACAGCCCCCCACCAGGGGCACCCTGGCCCCACCCTCACCAGATGCCGTTGCAGGTGACCGGCCGCCGCCTCTGGAAGAACGTGTATGACGAGCTGGGGGGCAGCCCGGGCAGCACGAGCGCGGCCACGTGCACGCGCCGCCACTACGAGAGGTAGGGAGGGACCGAGCGGCTTGGGCTGGGACCCCTGGGCTTCCCCTGCCAGGCTTCGGCGGAGGTCAGCTGGGGAGGGGGCTGGGGGGAACATGCAGACAGATGCCCTGTGTGTGCCCAGTGGAGGGGGCAGGATGTGTGTTCCAGTGGGCCAGGCGGCGGGCACGCGTGTGCGCTGCCTCCTCACCAGGCCCCGGAGGTGAGAAGATCAGGGGCAGGAGGGGCTGTGCTCGCTGTCGGAGGGAGGGTTCCGGGTGGCAGCGGCGTGGGAGCCGGGGTGGGGCGCACAGAGGAGGCTGGGCCGACAGGGCTCCCGGAGGACACACCTGGCTCCTCCCCAGGCTGGTCCTCCCATACGTGCGGCACCTGAAGGGGGAGGATGACAAGCCGCTGCCCCCTGCCAAGCCCAGGAAACAGTACAAGATGGCCAAGGAGCCTCGGGGGGACGACGGGGCCACCGAGCGGGCGAAGAAGACCAAGGAGGAGAGGCAGGTGGCCCCGGTGAGTGCTGAGTGTCCTGGCTCCTGTCCCCTGTCCCCGGCAGCTCCTCCCAGCCTGACTGTGGCTGCAGATCTCCCAGCTTGGGCCCCAGAACTGCAGCGAGGGTGGGGCAGGGGACTTGGGTCCCCTGTGAATGGTGACACACATGGACTTGGCAGGCCAGCTCAAACCTGCTGGCCAGGCCCCACATCGCGCTCCTGAGTCCACTCAGGACGGGGGCTCGCCGGGGCCCTGTGCACCCCCAAGACCCTGCTGCCCCTGGGTCCCCAGGGAGGGTGCCTGGCCCAGCCCCAGCCCTGAGGCTGGGCCTTTTCTCCTTCCAGGTGACACCAGGAAAGACCAAAATGGATGCTGCCGAGCTGGCCCCGCTTCCCAGCCAGGAGCCCCTCGGGCACAGCACGGAGCAGCTGGGCCCAGCTGCGGGGTCCTCCTTGCCCTTTGTGGGTACTGGTGTCTGCCCTGAGGCCTATAAGCGGCTCCTGTCCACCTTCTACTGCAAAGGGACACATGGTGTCATGTCACCTCTGGCCAAAAAGAAGCTCCTAGCTCAGGTCAGCAAGGCGGAAGCCTTACAGTGCCAGGAGGAGGGCTGTCGCCACGGGGCAGAGGGCCCTGACAGGGAGCTCACAGAGAGTCCCCGGAGCCCGAGAGGGCTGGCGGAGAACTTGGGGCGCCAGCCGGCTCCCCTGGAGGGGTCACAGGTGCCAGGAAGCAGCCTGCAGGCGGAGGCTCCGGGGGGCCCCTGCCCCGCAGCCCCCTTCTTCATGGGCTCTTTCCACGCCTGCCCCACTGAGGTGCTGAGACCCATCAGCCAACACCCCCGGGACTTCTTCTCCAGCCTTAAAGACAGGGTGCTACTGGGCCCCCCAGGCAAAGCGGAGGGGCTTTCTGCCAAGGAGCCCCCGCTGGTGTGGGGCGGGGACGCCAGCCGCCCCTCTGCCTTCCACAAAGGCAGCTCCAGAAAGAGCAGCTTCTACCCCAAGCCCAAAGCCTGCTGGGTGTCCCCCATGGCCAAACTCCCTGCCAACAGTCCCGTGCCCCTGTCTGCCATCCCCAGCAGCCCCAGCCTGGGCAACAAGCGCAGCCTGGATGAGGAAGGCTTTGCCCACGGTGGCAAAAAACTACGGGCAGTGTCTCCTTTCCTGAAGGAGGTGGACGCCAAAGAACGTGGGGCAAAGCCCACGGCACCCGGCGTGGCTGTCTCCTGCCTGCTGGGCCCAGCCCTGGGGCCTGCCCCGCCAGAAGCCTACAGGGGCACCATGCTGCGCTGTCCACTCAGCTTCGCTGGCACCCCGGACCCGCTAAAGGGCCAGGCTGCACTGCCCTTCAGCCCCCTGGTCATCCCGGCCTTCCCGGCCCACTTCCTGGCCACTACCAGCCACTCACCCATGGCCACTGGCCTGATGCACTTTCCCCCAGCGTCCTTCGACAGTGCCCTCCGCCACAGACTCGGCCCAGCCTCACCTGCCTGGCACGTGCCGCCTGGCACGACCTACGCGCCGCCGCCCTTCCACTTGAACACCAAGCTATAGGTCTGCCCGTCACACTGCTGTGCTGTGGAGGGTTGAGGTGCCCGGGGAGGGACAGGCCCTGCGAGGTGGCTCCCTGCCCAGGACATGTGGGCCAGGAAGGCTGGCACAAAGTGGCAGTGGGAAAACTGGGTTTGTCCCAAGGAGGCAACCTGAGCCCAGAGCCTGGGGACCCAGGTGGGACAAGGCCTTGGAGCAGATGCGCAGGGTTGGCAGCGCCCAGCTGGCGCCCCCAGTGCAGGCATCAGGAGGTGAGACTCCGAGGAGTCCATTGCAGTTCACGGTGTCCCCAGCACCCGCCGACATCCAGTAAAAAGACACGCTCAGACCTTTGCAAGGGCAGGTGGACAGGACAAGCTGGTGGGGCCACCCATGTGGCAGCCCAAGAGATGAAGAGATGCCATTCGGTGGTCTGGATGCCACCACCCCCGCGGAAGAGCCGCCCAAGCAAAGTCTGGCCTCCATGCCCGTTCCTCAGGCCTCCTGGCGGATCCAGTCTCTTCAACCTGCTTTCCTAGTTGAGCTTCAAGCCACCTGCCTGTCACCTCATGTGCAGCTGGGAATCCAGGGCTTACAGCAGGCTGGTGACCTGGCAGGCAGGTGCAGAGTAGGGCAGTGCCCACCTGCACAACCCTAGGTGGTCGCAGCACTGAGCTGCCCCCGGGACTCTGGGCCCCAGGACCAGACGCGCCCTGTACCTGCTCACCAGCTCCAGAGAGGGAAGTCACTTGCTTGGAGATGAAGCCTCGTCGTGTTGTCCAGGCCGGTCTCTAATTCTTGGGCTCCAGCGATCTTCCCAGCTTTCAGAGCAGCTGGCACCCCAGGGTGTAAGCACGAAGCCCGAGTCAGCCCGCTGTGGTTGTGTACGGAGACCTATGGGCCTTGCTGCTGGATGCGGTGGCTGTTGTCACCCACCTCCACTTCCTGCCTCACATGGACGGCCATCAAGGCCACGGGGGTCCTGAGGTGCTGAGGAACAGGAGTGGCCGGTTACTGCCTGGTGTCCGCTTTGACCGTGCGCGCCTGCGCGTTCCAGATGAGCTTGCCCCAGGGTGTCAGCATGTGCTCAGCACAGCTTCACACAGGTGCTGGAAAGGCAGCGCCACCTAGCCCAGGGGACGCGGGGTGACCCAAGGGCCAAGTCATCGGATGGCCTCGACCTGCATCCCAGAACTCGATCTGCCCTCTGGGACCAGGCCGCAGGGACTTTCTGATCGAAGGCCAAACCCTTCCCCCAAGTCACAGTGGAAGGCTGAAGACAGGCGTAGGGTGGGGATCCCTGGGGATGACAGAGCCCACGTCAGGCCACGCACAGCAGGCCGGGCCCCACACGGGCGGCCAGGGCAGGGAGGCAGCCCTGTGGAGGAGCTCGGCCCGGTGCCCCCAAGGTAGGCCAGCAGCAGGGTGGCTGTCACTGCCATGCAAGCACTGACAGGCTCTGCAGGGGCCTCTCCTGCTCCCCTGCCTCACTCCTGGGGGACCCCAGGATGCCAGCCTGAGTTCCTGGACGACCGTCCCTGAGTTCCCGACTGCATCCTCCACGTGCTGCTCATCCCCCCAGGCCTGGGTCCCCTGTAGGTGACAGAGAAGGGGGTGCTGAGTTTTGAGCATGGAGCAGGCACACGCCCTAGGGGCTGGGCTGCAGGCTATGGGGGCTGCATCCTCTGGATAAGGAAATGAGGGCTGCCTTTTTTGGGGTATCCTGGGTGAGATGGAGCAAGGTCTCATGGCCCCTTCATCTGCAAAGTAATGCTGGGCTCAGCCTCACCAAGGCGAGCAGGTGGCCGAGTGCCAAGGCTGGGATGGGGCGCCCTCTGGAGGCAGGTCTGGAGATGCGCTTCTCAGCCACTACATCCAGAGTCCTGGGTACCACGGCCGGAAGAGCACCAAGGCTCAGGCCAGGTGCTGAAGACAAGAGCTGGGTGCAGGCCAGGCTTCTGGGAAGCCGTGATCCCTGAGCTCCAGCATGCTGGCCTTCCACAGCCCTCAGGCTCACCCGCTCTCCACGACGCCCTGAGGAAGGGACTGTTCGACTTACAAACGAGGACGCTGAGCCCAGGGGGATGAGGCCTCCCCCCCCCCCCCGTGCCCGCTGTGCCACTTGCTCACCACATTCATTCCCTTGCTGGGTCCCTGATAGGCTGCCCTGGGGACCCGCAGTGCAGCAGGGTCAACAGGGTCTGTGTAGGGGTGTGAGCTACATTTCTGGGCCACTGTTAGGACCCCGTCCAAAAGGTCAGTGGTACGAGCTGCTGATGGTGGCAGGGAGCAGAGGCCACTGTGGAAAGTGCTGACTGCTCCCCATGGCCCTAAGTGTGGGCCGTGGCCGACCCTGGGCATCTGTGTGCTGAGGGCCACTCCCATTGCGGGCTAGGACGCTCAGCTCTGCCCTGCTGCAGCTGTCCCTGCGGGTGAGGCAGGAAAGAAGCCAATGACTAAATCACAGCGTCTGGGGGACAGTGTGGGCCGGGAGCAAGGAGTGCAGTTTTGTCTGCTTTGGGGGTTAAAATATGTTTGCCATTGTCACCATTTTAAGTGTGCATCGTGTGGCATTAAATGTACGCTCACTGTGTCGGACAGCGTCACACCACTTGTTTCTGGGACCATAGTTTTTTTCTCCGGTACCGGGAACCGAACTCATGACCTTGCGCTTGCCAGGCAGGCGCTTTTGCCGCTGAGCTAAATCCCCAGCCCCTGGGACCATAGTTTTAAACGGATGAGCGGCCCTGTGGGCTCTGGCCAGTAGCATTGAGCAGCAGCTAGAGGAGGTGCCAGAGGGAGCCTCGTGGGGACGGGAGAAGCAGAGGCTCCAAGTCCCGAGGTGTGGCAGGCAAGGGCAGCCCGGGACCTGGAGGCCTGGGAGGTTGGGACAGTGCATGCGTGTGTACACACGTGTGTGTGAGTGGGTGTGCACATGGCTTTTCCTCCCAGTAAGGGAACAGCAAGGGTGTCCTGGCCTCTGGGGTTTTGCGGGGCTGGGGCTGGACCTCTGGCCGCCTTCTGGGTAAGCGCTGCACCCCCAGCCTGCACTCCCATTTAGCGGGAGCCTGGGCAGTGGGCAGGGTCGGATGCCCCAGCCAGGGCCAGGGCACAGCAGGGGTCCATCCCAGGAGGAGGAGGATGGGGCTCTGAGCTCAGGCCTTGGCCGGCTGGGCTGTGGCCTGGCTGGCCGGTGCCTGTGCTGCTGGGAACCTCACGGAGCAGAGCAAGGCCACCCTGGAATGGCACCCTCTCTCAGAGACCCAGATCCCACTGGAGGTCAGCGGTGGGCAGCCCGCTGGGTGCGACTCGGCATCAGGAGAGCCGAATTGAAGTCAAATAGGCTGAGGGTGCTGGGAGGGGGAGTGGGGCGGGGCATGGGGCCCCTGCTGGATGGATGATGGGACCCACGGACTTGGGTCCCAGTGGGCTCTGAGAATCCAAGGAAAGGGCCCACCTGAGAGCTGAGCCAGATGCAGAGGGCTGGCTAGGAGGGACAGTTATGGGTGTGGTCACAGAGCAAGGCAGAGGAGGCAGTGCGGAGGTGCAGGGTCCGGCAGCTAGGGTGTGGGGAGCCTGGAAACCACCACAAACTAGGAGCAGGGGGGTGCTGAGCAAGCACGGTGAGCCAGGGCAAGTGGGCAAGGATAGCACAAGCTCTGTAGCCAGGATACGTGCAAGGACATTCACTTGGGTGGCTGGGCAGTGTGGAGAGATGACCCATACTGGAGGGGCCCCAGGAGTGCTCTCCAGGGTGAGCACAGCCTCAGGGGGCAGAGTGGACTAGAACAGCAGCTGAGCTCAGCGGGGAAGGGAGAGACTTCGATGGCTTTGTGAGGATTTAGTCCCAAGACCAGAGGTCACCGAGTGGCTTGGAGATGTGTTTAAATTTTTTTTTTTTTAATACAGAGCCACAGGAGGATCACTGTGAGTTCGGCCTGGACTACATAGACCCTGGCTCAAAAAAATTCACATGCTGGGAGTGGTGGCACACACCTGTAATCCCAGCACTCAGTAGGCTGAGGCAGGAGGATCACTGTGAGTTCGAGACCAGCCTGGGCTACAAAGTGAGTTCCAGGCCAGCCTGAACTGCACAGTGAGACCCTGTCTCAAAAAGACAAAAAAGGGCTGGGAATATAGCTCAGTGGCACAAGCACCTGTCTGGCAAGCGCAAGGTCCTGAGTTTGATTCCCAGTACCAAAAATGGAAATTTAAAAAAAAAAAGACAACAAAATTCACATCTCTATATGAGTTTTATATTTATATATATATGGAGTCCACCAAAAGTATGCACAGTTCAGGAAAAGAAAAACATATAAATATATTAGTACTAAATTTACTTGCCTCTGGCCTCTACAGTTACAAGAGGTGCTCAAAGTGGTGGCCATTAGCTTCCAGACATTTTTCTTTTCCTGAGGTGCGAATACATTTTTTGGTGGACTCTATATATCTAGGTATATACGTTGTTGACAGCATTAAAAAATCGAATTTTACAGAAAAACTTTGGATGACAGGCTTCTCCTGAATAATCCGAACCTGCCCCCGTGAGACCCCTTCCTGAAGCTGAGGCGGGGCTGCGCCCCATCTGTCCCTTCGCCATGGTCTCCCTAGTGCCCCACCCCATGCCCACCCCAGGGAGCCGCCCTATGCCCTGCTCCGGGTGCACATCCGGCCTTGTCCTGCCGCGCTCAGACGCTAGGTGGCGACTTCCGCTCTTCCTGGTCATCAGACTGGCCAAGGCGGGTTTTCTGAGCAAAGGACTCGGGAACATCCAGGGTGTCCCTGTTCTACGCTCAGGGCTTCCAGCTGCAGTGCACGGTGGCCACTGCAAAGTCGCTGGGCCAGCAGGGCCCGGCAGTGAGGTGTAGAGGGACCGGCTCCTAGCCTTGGGCTCCTGAGGTCTGAGCAGCCTCAGCCCGTCCGAGCACCAGTCCCAGTCTGAACCGTAGTTGTGGTCCATTTGCAGGTTGTCTGGCCCAGAGTGACAGTGCAGAGGCTGGCGGAGCCCGGACACTCCCAGCCCCTCCGGGTCCCCAGCCAGTCCTAGAAAGGCTGCATCACGGGCCACAGTGAGGCCTCCCGACTGCACAGCAGGGTCCGTGGGCCCTTAGGTGAGGGAGACAGCTGGGAGGGCAGGGAAGAGAGGCCGAGCAGGGTTGGCTCCCTCCGAAGCTGGGAGCCCTTAGCCTGGGGCAGGGAGCGGGAGCCAGTCACAGCCCCCCGACACACTCTGCCGAGGCTCAGAGCGGCAGCGATGGTTCTCAGACCCTCTCCTTGACAGCAGCAGCAAGACAGCCTGGCCTTTAGCCCCAGCTGCTCAGGCGGCCAGGAGAAGGAAAACCTGTCACCCACAAAGGACACGGGAGGCCTCGTTGGGCTGGGCACATGGCTCAGTGGTAAAGGGCATGCCTAGTTCCATCCCAGTCCCAAAAAGAGAAGGGGGAAGGGAGGAAAGAGGAAGGGAAGAAGGAAGGAGACAGAGGAGGGGAGAAGAAAGTCCAGCCTCAGCCCTAGGTGCGGCCCCTCCTGGCCCAGACAGTGGCCGTGGGCATCTGTGACGCCTGGCAGGGGCTTGATCTACGTTACATGGGAGTGTTTACCCAGAAACCAGCAGGTGCACAGAGCGGGGCTCCCCTGCTCCAAGCCCCTAGCCGGTGGCCAGACACCTGGCTTTCCCTGTCCAGGATGAACATTCAGCAGAGCTGAGGCCAAGTCCCACATGTCCGCAGGCTGGGCCGTCAGCTCAGAGCAAGTATGCCTGCCGGGTGGTCCAAGACCCATGAGGCCAGGCACACCCACCTACCCAGGGCTCGGTTTCGGCCTCTGTGAAGTGGAAGCGAGTCACTGCAACCTGGAGTCGGGGCAGTTAGTAAAAGTGCCCTGTTCACCAAAGCCCTGCCGAGCTGAGTCATCTCCACTTTCCTCGCCCGCAGTTCCGCCCAGCCAGCCTGGCCACCCCTGCCCTGCCCTTTACCTTGCTGCTTTTGGAACTCCTGCATGTGTGTGACCACTGCCCGCCCACCAGGCTTCTGACTCAGAGTCACCCCAGCCTTTGGATCCTGTCTGTGTCTGGTTCAAGAATGCAAGTTGGTTTCCCCAGGGTAACAACTGACTAGCAGATCATGGGCAGTTGTCTGCAGCTTTGGGCTGACTCAGGGTGAAGTGATGCAATCGATTAGTAATGTCTGCTGAGGCCAGGAAGGGGAGGGGAGCTCACCAGCTATTTAGGTGCCATCTTTGTACCCATTATGATCCCACCAGTGCCGGATGTGGGGCTGCCTAATGCAGCTTCACTGCCGCATCTTGGCCACAATGCCAGCACATGCTGCCAGTTTCCTCCTACTTGAGCAGGATCCCAGTATCCTGGATGGACACCATGTGCCCATGAGCCCATGTGCTACCTAGTGGACTCCTGAGTAGTAATCAGGGAGGTGGCCGTGAGCCCTGAGACCTCCCTGGGCTCTGGAAGTGCACACTTGTCCCAGATCTGAAGTCTGTCCACGGCTCACACGGTTCCCCCAGCCTCACCCAGAAGTCTCTTCCGGGAAGCTTTCTTGAGGCAGGTGCCCCCTCCCACGTGCCCCATAGCACTGCACGTGTCTCCATTCACACACTGGACCTACGTCCCTGCCCTGCCCAGATGGCCAGATCCTGTGAGCATCCGGGTCCCCTGCTCATCCCCAGCCCCCGGTTTACTAGCCCCGTATGACAGGGGCCATGGTCTTACCCAGACTGAAGGCACTATGAAACACACACGTGTGCATGTCCAAAAACACCCCTGAGTGTCCCCAGCTGCTCTGAGGGGCTCCTGGAGGGCTGGACGCACTCAGGAGTCACTCCCAGGTTGTGCCCACCTGTGGCCGGATGCTTGGTGGCCTAGGGGAGCAGCTCTTTCCATCAGTGACTGCCACACACACACACACACACACACACACACACCCGGCTGGCTTTGAGAGGAAATAGAACCTACTGCGGGCTCTTCCCTCATAAATACAGACCATGCCCTGCCTCACCCTTCTCTGCACAAACAGGGCGGGCAGGGGCACTTAGCAAGATCGTATCCAAGTTTCAAGGACATGGGCACAACTGCCACGGGAAGGTGCTTCTCAACCCTGCTGAGCACCCAGATTCTTACTGGGGTCCGGGGTTCCAGCCATGGGCAAGTGGCTGCACCCCTGGGAACTAGAGCCGTTGTCACCCACGGACTCTGAGCGAGGAGGAGAGCCCATCGCCCTTAGCCCTTTCTGGAGGATTTTCTCTTTAAATCTTCCCTTCTGGCCCCAGAATGCAGCCCCTGCTGTGGGGGAGCTCTTCTCTTCCAGAGCTCCAGTGAGCACGTTTGGCTCAGGCTGAACTTTGCCCCCCACCCCCACCCCTGCTAACAAACAATAGATGTGGAAGCACTCGCCCCACCTCCTCTGAGTGTGACTGTTTTTGGAGCAGCACCCTTGCGATGTGATTAGTGAGGATGAGGTGTGCCGCATGAGTGGACCCCAACGCCACGCAGTGGGGATATGGAGAGAAGATGGCCGTGTGGCCCAGGACAGGGGTGGTATGGCCAAAGGTGGCCAGAGAATCATCAGGAGCTGGGGAGAGGCAAGGTGGCACTTC